ATTCTCACCAAATGATTTGCTAGAAAATATTCCTTTTAGAGCCTCATTTGTGAATGTCGGTTTAAGGCTGATAAAAATGGTTCTCTTTCCGCCCCCGGCCACCCCCCCCCCTTCCCCCCCCCCCCCAAAAAAAAAAAAACAGCTATAAAATTAAAAGTTCTTTTCCGCTGTAATAGTTTTCGCGCACGTCTTAGCAATCACTGTTTCGCACTTGTTACATCTGGTTATGTTGTGCCCATTAATATTTGTGATAATATTTTCGAACAGTGGAGAATTCATTCAAATGCGAGTTCGATACTATATATAAGGACATACATGATGAAAACAGCAAGAGAAGGACAGGTACTTTTTGATTTGGAGAGCAAAACACAGATTATACTAGGAAATCATGACACATAGTTTTCACATGAAATCATGACATACATTTGAAAAATAGAATCATAGTGCTTAATTTTTATTAGGAAACAATGACACATAGTTTTTATAGCAGATAATTACATATTTTTTCCATAGATGACACATATATGTCATAGGAAATACAGTCCAAATGTTTTTCAAAGGAAATCAAGACACAGTTTCTATAAGAAATCAACTCAGATAACTTGCATGGGAAATCAAGATATACAGTTTCTATAAGAAATCAACTCAGATAACTTGCATGGGAAATCAAGATATACAGTTTCTATAAGAAATCAACTCAGATAACTTGCATGGGAAATCAAGATATACAGTTTCTATTGAGAGAGGTAAAAAATCTTCAGTTTCCGTAGAAAATTAAAAGACATAGTTTTTAAAGGACTTCAAAATACAAGGTGTTCATAGAAAAATCAAGATGTATAGTTTTCACAGTAAAATGAAGACACACAGTTGTTACTGGAAATCATGACATAGCTTTCAAAGGAAAACGAGACACGCCGCATTTTGATTAAAAGTGTATTTTGCCTGTGTAGATTGCTGTCTATTCGTCACATTGCAGCAATGAAGCAGATTGGGAGTTGTGCTGAATAAAGCAGTTTCCCAATTTGTGATGGAATATGTGGGCAATGACTCTGTTCTTCTTCACTCTGGCTCCAGTCACTTGCAGATTCCTCTTTCATGCACCGACAGTCAACACCACAAGTAAAAAAAATTATGACAGTGAAAGACACAATGCGGTTTCATTCTTTATTCTCCACTCGCTGTTTCTTCGGCAAGTATATGATGAGGTAACAAACGTTTATTCAGCTATACAAAGATACGGATAGACTTTAGCTTTTAGCCGAAAAACTTCCATTACACAATAGCAATTGAAAGAAACAAATTGTTCTCCATGACGGTGACGAACACAATCAACTGGCAGACGATTTCCGTCGGTCCTTGCTGCCTGTCCAGGTAAGGGGTTAGAAATTCAACAAATACATTCGGACGCAGACACATACTTCTCTGCTCTCCATGCAGTTTCTTGGCCCAAACAAAACTGTCCACATGCTCTTAATACGGCATTATATAATCTTCCACGGCCTACATATAATTATGCCCGCTTACGATTTCTCGTGTTCTCCGATTCACACTGGTTTCATTTGGCCAACATTTTCACCGTGCATCTCGGCTTTGCACTCGTTATATTTAAAGATCTCATTCATATTTATTACCTGACGTCATTCTTTCTGTAACATAACTTATCAAGGAGAAAATGGTTTCACTACAACGTGGTGCATAGTTAGTTAGTCTTGTATCCTTAATAGGACGTTACAAAACCAACCCCAACATTATTTCGGCTGTTGTGGTTTTAATATTCAAATTTACGTCCAGTAGTTTGCCGTTGCTCCTGGACGGTCAGCTCTAGGTACCACTGTCGAAACCAACGCAAGACAAACCGTCCGCAGCTGGGATGGAACCCAGTGCCCCGGCATTGCGAAGCGCGTTCGCAAAGACTAAGCCACAGACGAATATGGTTATTATACAAAAGTGTGTCTTAACTAATCATCACTCGAATTATAATGTTAACATTGTTTGTTCATTGTTCGTTTCAGAGATAATCTTCATCGCACATCGGACATGACCATAAGTGCTGCGATCTCCTCCTGAGTATGTCTTCAATTATGTTAACATTACCCGACCACCTTCACATGTAATCCGTTCTAGACAAGGTCCAGTAATCCGTGCTAGACAAGGTCTAGTAATCCGTGCTAGACAAGGTCCAGTAATCCGAGCTAGACAAGGTCCACCTTGAAATCCAATATAATACACGACAATCTAGTCTGTGATTGTATTTAGAACGCAAGATCATTAGCCGTCGTCAAACCGGCTTGCGATTCAGTGCGCAGTCTAGGCCCCAACATCCTATTGGACAGGATCTGCTTGGGGATACTAAATCATCCACATGGACATGTGAAAAAGGCAACAGTAAAGTCTTCTCACCCACGTCAACGATGTATCACGCATGTGATGCTGGACTCAGATATGTCTAGACCAATCGACGATAACAGGAGGACGTGGTCAGCATCACGTCGGCCTCCCAGCTTCCCAACATTTTTGGTAGGGTCTATACGCGAACCTAGGCAAATTCGCCGCCCTACCCCTCCCCTTCCCCCAACCCCTACCCTATCACGTCTTCGATCCTAGATGTTTGAGCTGACGGTAAGTATCTAAACGCATAGCTAGTTAGTCCAGATTATTCAAATTAGGACAGTATGATCTAAAGCAGAAATACACAAAAGCTTTTTTTAAAATGTAATTATCCTTCGAAAAGTGATAAACAGAAGTGATATGTGTATCTTGTTTTTAGCTTCACATTTACGTTTATTCATGATTGAGTACGAAGCAGTGAGCGAGACAATCTGTTGGCGTCAAGTGCGTCTGTAATGAGACCGCTCGAGAAGGTCTATCGAGATAGTGTCGAGGTTACATATACAATAATTCTATATCTCAGCCCCAATTAATTAATAATCATATTGACGAATTTGTGAATTTGGTTTTAAGTGGGTTGCCATTAACTCTTTGAGTCCCAGAGTGTTTAGCATCACAGGCCCAAGGGGTAGTCAAGAAAGACGTAAAATCGGCGCATTATGAGTTCATTGGGCTTCTAGGCAGTAACCTATGAACGTATCATACGTTCCTTGGGACTCAAAGAGTTAAGGAACCATATATGAAAGGATGAATCGGAATATTACTTCAACAAGTGTCTTACGGCAACCTCATTCCATACGCACTTAACAATGTTTGCTGAGGTAGAAAGAAGCTACAAGTTACTTGCATATCCTTTATATAAAAAGACATGAAACAATATCAAATCGAACAAAAAGTATATTCTTTACAGAAAGTTGCAGAACCAACCAAAGCTGTTCGTTGTGTGTAATTTTCCAAGGCAGTTTTGTTCAGTAGTTTTGTCTCTTGCTTTCTGAACAAACAGAGGATAAGTTGAGTTAGAACAACATATGTCTGGGAGTGAATGACTTTAATCTACCCTGGAGTTTTGAATTGTCTGGTATTACGTGTAACAAAGACTGCTGCTTTCTTTTGGTCACGTTTACTTGTTATGTCTTATACGTTTCCACATCCTAGAACATATGTCTGACATCCTAGTGCTTCCTCTTTCGATGCAGCAGCCGTCTCAGTGTGTCCATGCTCAACGTACTCAGCAGTTTTTGACAGTTATATTTTCTTTCTGTGCCCCGAAACCGGTTTCTGCATACATAACTTCAATTAATACTATCTTAAACAGATATTTCATCGTTTCTGACTCATTTGTCTCAACGTCCCCTAAACGCAGCTCATTCATTATGTCCGCCCTGTCCATAATTGTTCCTGTACTAACCACTGCAGACAGAGCGTGTCCCGGTGTGTACTGCCAGGGTAGTTTCTGGAGGCTATACTTCTGGAAGCTGTCAGTCCCTAAATAGGGAAGTATCCAAGTTTGAATCTTCATAAGCATGCTCAATATTATGTTATGTTATTACAGTCGACGTTACTAAACACTGGGCAGTCCCATGCGTGCTCAGACCTCCGATGTAACAGCCACTCCAAAGTACTTCTGTTAATTATTCCAACGAAAAGCTGGTTACAATTTCTCCTATCTCGGCCTCGGAGGCGACATAAACATACAACCTTACTACGCCTATCTCTACCGACTTAACATTCTATATGCCAGTTCTTACCATTACAGATGTGTTCCAGCGAGGGAACAAAGTAGTCTTCACAGACTCAACATTGCATGTGTCTGTTCTTACATTCACAGATGTATTCCAGTGAGGGAACAACGTAGTCATCACAGACTCAGCATTGTATGTGTCGGTTCTTACCTTCACAGATGTGCTCCAGCGAGGGAACAACGTAGTCATCACAGACTCAGCATTGTGTGTGTCCGTTCTTACCTTCACAGATGCGTTCCAGCGAGGGAACAAAATAGTCATCACAGACTCAACATTGTATGTGTCTGTTCTTACCTTCACAGATGTGTTCCAGCGAGGGAACAAAATAGTCATCACAGACTCAACATTGTATGTGTCCGTTCTTACCTTCACAGATGTGTTCCAGCGAGGGAACAAAATAGTCATCACAGACTCAACATTGTATGTGTCCGTTCTTACCTTCACAGATGCGTTCCAGCGAGGGAACAAAATAGTCATCACAGACTCAACATTGTATGTGTCTGTTCTTACCTTCACAGATGTGTTCCAGCGAGGGAACAAAATAGTCATCACAGACTCAACATTGTATGTGTCTGTTCTTACCTTCACAGATGTGTTCCAGCGAGGGAACAAAATAGTCATCACAGACTCAACATTGTATGTGTCCGTTCTTACCTTCACAGATGTGTTCCAGCGAGGGAACAACGTAGTCATCACAGACTCAACATTGTATGTGTCCGTTCTTACCTTCACAGATGTGTTCCAGCGAGGGAACAAAATAGTCATCACAGACTCAACATTGTATGTGTCCGTTCTTACCTTCACAGATGTGTTCCAGCGAGGGAACAAAATAGTCATCACAGACTCAACATTGTATGTGTCCGTTCTTACCTTCACAGATGTGTTCCAGCGAGGGAACAAAGTAATCATCACAGACGACAGCAAGGGCAGCAAACATGTACAGGGCCAGGAAGATGTGGATGACCACTCCTCCATCCTTGGTGTCCTGGAGCGTCATGAAGTTTGCCGGGAAGTTCTCCACGGATCTCGGCAAGCATGTTTTGTTGTCTGCAAAAGAACAGAATCATTATTGCTTGGTCTGGCCTAAATAAACATGAATTTATATCCGTCATATTTATAATTTATTATGTTTTTATATTTTGCTAAACAGCGTGGGTGTCTCTGCCTACACGCATTTGCCAGTTAGACATATCAGATACGGGTTTTAAAAACAAATTATTTAGAGGTAAAAAAAAAAAAAAAAAACTACATACATACACACACACACACACACACACACACACAGATAGACAAATACACACATATCACATTCACAAAAGTATATACTACGATTTTTTAGAAGAAAAAAAACCCCAGAAAGATTTGAGGTTAGATGAACCTATAACATCTGGATGCTAGCTCAGGTAAACAACAGTGTTTTTTGTGTGTGTGCGGCTCGCGGGTAACTTTTCGTTTCAGAGTATCTTAGTATTTTTTTTTAAACATATTTAATAAACATTTAATAAATATAAGACATTTAAATGGACAGTAAACACGGCAGCTAACTGGGAAGCAGTTCTGTGCACGAGACCTTTGACCTGCTCCCACACTAGAACCTGCATGTTATCGACCAGAATATGATGCTGCAAATCATGTGAGGTTAACTGGTAATTTCAGGCAAGAAATCAAATAATTATCAGTTGTTAGGTTCCTCTCCTTAGATTTATCGCAAGCATGGTAGAGAACGCTGATTCACGTGTATATGTAGATTCAAAAAATGATGTCATAGAATAATAGGCCATTCTATGTGACGCACCTAATCTGGTCATAATCGAAACCTAAATCCCTAACTCCTTTGGGGTTGTTGAGTGAACGTAGCGACTTTGTTTCCTACAGTGCCTGTCACTGAATAGCTGGTTAGGAATCTTGTGCTAAGAACAGGAACGTTGCTATCAGCAGCTCCTGTTGGAAGATAAACATCGCAATGCCCATCTGCTGTTCCTTCTTCTACCATTTTGTTGTCTTCTTCCACTAATTTTATATTTTGGAACAAAGTTCATGCACTCAATAAGGTTTTTTATTTTTATTTTAAAAATATTTTTTTTTTATTTTGTTTTTTTGTTTTTTTGTTTAGTAGAAATACCATGAACATTTACAACGCCTTCCAGTTGGAAGAATTCCGTAAATCTTTCTTCAAATTCCGTGAGCAAATTGTTTATTTGTTGTGTTTCTCGAGACTGGCAAATGTTTGATCCGTTCCCTCATCTTCCATAAAAGTGATTCTTTAGATCGCTCTTTCGTAGCGAAATCTTCCAATTAACATTTCTAAGCACACTCATAACTTTCATCAGAGATTTGTCTTTTACTTACAGGCTAACATTTTCTTCATTTAGCTTTTGATAATATTGCAAAGAAATGACCTTTTTAGTATCCATCCAGGGTCTTCTAAATCTTGATAACATTTTCTTCTGGATCCTTATACTTTGTATTTCTGGAAGAAGGCTCCTGAATCTTCTACAGTATAAAGCTCGCGTGAACTAACGTAAATTTGTGTGCAAAAAAGGTCTCCTTCTCAGCTCCCAATTCTTCAAGTTCAGTTAAAAAAATTACGTCTTTGTAATCTCCTGATACGAATCAAACCAACAATGGGGAATGCTGGGATCATATGGTCATCCGAGCTAGGAATTTATTTCCACATTGCACTTACTGCTGAATGATACAATGGTACGGTGTGAATGTAGATATATCGTTATCATCTTTGGAGAGTTAAACTTGGTACTAGATTGACCCATGACGAGTCCGATGTTCTAAAGGCCTTTTAGAAGCGAGTGAACATTGCGAAGATGCACACAGAACGTCACGGTCTGAAGACAATGGTGCTTAGAAGATTGACCTGGAGTTCCGGTGGGGGTTCAAAGCTCAGGGGAAATGCGAGAAGGACACACAATCAGATTAGTATTGGTACAATCGGGATATGAACTCTGCGTTGGCTGTTGAAGAAGGAGGCGAAGCATTTATGTGAATGCCCAGTGTGCTATGATGTTGGTTCTTAATCCACTTTAGCTCAGGAAATGACCCGAAGGTTGTTGTGATCCTCATCTAATTATAGTTTCCCTATCAGTTGACCATTTGATTAATAATTGACTGGGTACGCTGACAATGTTAATAATATCGTGACATACATTTTAGTACCATTATTCCAGACTTCATGGAGAAAAAAAAAGGCAGCAACGATAAAAATAATGTAAGCACACTTTAGTTATTCTTCAGAGTTTGGACATACTCAGATCTCAGAGGTTCAGGCCGCTGTGAGTAAAGTCTTGAACGAACGAACGAACAAATGAACAACCAAACACACATTATTTTCAACGGGTAAGAATTTAGTAAGCAAGCCCTTCAAACATATTTACAGCTTGCCTGATAATTTCTTGTACCTATCGTCGCTTTGTCCAAGCCTGCTTCTATAATAGTCGAGACATTTTATGTGTGTGTAGGTAATGTGAAGAAAAATGATATAGTCGTTTCTTATTCAAAGTATTTGAAAAACCGAAATGCGACGAAACTGAGTGTCCCGATACTACGACATGTTATGTCTAATTTATGCCATACAGCAATACGGCTCCATCAGGATACCCGTATGGGTGATAGAGCCCTGTTATAGGGAAAACAAGAACATATGCATTGCGTCCCCAACATGCATGTCGTAGGAGTCGACCCATTTGGCATCCTTCGAAGTCGGAGTGCATTTGACTGAGAGGTAAGTAACAAAGTCTACATACAAATAAGAGAGGTGTGTCAAACGGATGAACACACAATTGTCAGGTTGTTGAGCAAGAAACAGCTCGGAAGGTGGACGAACACTGAGAACTTTCCACTGGACTTTACATTTAGAGAACGCAAAGAAAAAGAATATGCCTCAATAAATAGGAGACAGGCTCTGTCCTATGATAATTCTAAAAGCTTATCTACGTGAGCCACACCTGCATACAATGATCGTGTCTAGAGTCACACAGGTGGGCGACCAAACGAACCGTTCGCAGTCATAAAGACACCATATCGCTCGTTTTATCTGACAAAACACACCAAACCAGAAGTTATGGAGTCTGGGAGCTTATGCACATTGAGCCCCAGACATCCCCCACCCCTCCCCCCACACACACACATTTTTTTCCACCTAAAAGTGTAAGAGGGCCAAGCTACTACCCTTTGAATCTTTTCAGTGGTGTATAGAAGTGCTCTTAGCAAGGTTTTGCTTATACACGTTATTTACAATATTGTATTGTATTCATTTAGCCTTTAACATTATTACTAAGCTCTTGAAACAGGACTGCTGTGAAGTAAAGATGGCCGGCGTGATGATGACTTCATTGCAATCAAGTGCCGAGTGGTCTATAAAGTATGGGTCCGTTCATGTATGCCCAACATGCCCAAAGTCGTGGAAAAGGGTCCTAAACAAAAACCAGGGGTCTCCTGATGCCACTCATCTATACAATTAGTTGGGCTTTCTTTATCATGGCGTCTCTGCGCAGTACTAACTCAGTGCCTTCGTGTTATGCAAACGTCTTCAACACTTTGTCTAGGCTTGCATTTTCATTGAAAATCCTTATCGCCACATTAAACAGCATCGTTCGTAGCACCGTTTGGAACACACTACCCCAACCGTTTCATCTACAATATGCACAATATCACTACTCTGAATAAACTGTGCCTTTAATGGCGCCATAACTCAAGATACACATCGATAAGATCAGTGTTGAACATAGTGACGTCTATAGATTATTGGTCTCGGTGCACAATTGCAGATTTAGAATCCTCTAGAAAAGCCGCGATAGCATCGTATGTTCCACTCTATCAGACAGCGGGTTATGTCCGTAAGAGACATTGCCTCTGGTAGTATCTAGAAAGCTGAGTCACTGTGATAATTGAACTGCACCCAAGAGCCAGTGGCAGTGAAATAGGTGCCAAGCATAGATGGTCGGTAATCATAATCATTTTTCTTGGGATCTAAATTACACGTGAAAAGCACACCGATGACATATCGATACTGTGTCTATTTATCAGGCCTGGTTACATCTTTCTTAACGGAGATTTTTTAATTTTCGTGTGGTTTTATGTCAGTAGTTAAGTGTTAACTTGCCTGCTAATTTTTACATGTGCATTTTTTTAAACACTGGCATTTAGTTAGTTAAATCTAACTTTTTCTAAGTGAAACTCTCTCTCACCTTCTCTCTCTCTCTCTCTCTCTCTCTCTCTCTCTCTCTGTTTAAAATGAAACCATATATTCCCATTGACGTCAGTACTTTCTTTCTCTAATCTCAGATACTCCCTATGACTCTCACATTATGTCTTCTGACAAATTCTCCCTTATCTCTCGTTAACACGCAACTTGATTTGTACTTGTACAAGTGTATGTCCGTTTTTCCCTATCTCCATGTAAACACACACACACACACACACACACACACACACAAACATACATAATTAAGCACATTAATAAAATACAAACAGTGGAAGGCTTCATTTGTTCCAAAATATAAAAAAAGAATGTGAACACAACAGTCAATGGAATTTGACAAGTTCGAAAAGGACTTACATCTTTCTTGTATACTTTACCAAACTAGAACGGCCCATATGCCCAATAGGTAAACGTTCCCTTGTCCCATCTTTTGACAAAAACAACGCAAATGAAAACTGAAGCCACATCAGTTTCAGTGAAATACGGAGGCGAACTCATCTCAGTTTCCTTTCTTCTGTGATATTGCGAGAGACACTTGATAGTTTTATTATTCTTCTCTCTTGGTTATCTGCTATCGCCTCTGTGGGTTCCGAGCCCTTAGGAATATTTCCTCCGAAGTCGGAGTTTATCTTCCTCAGAAGCGAAGCACCAACTTTAGGAGTATTAGTACATTTTACCCCACTAGGACATCACACAAGCGATAAACACCCGATGACAAACAGTGCCACCATGTGGATGAGGATCACCTGTGGAGAGGTCCCGGAAACCGCGTTTAGCCATTAGACCATATTTATGGCCGGGCTATTTTGTGGCACTTGGCAAGAGCCAGGGT